CAAACAAACAAACAAACAAACAAACAAACAAACAAACAAACAAACAACCCCACCACCAGAAGAAGAATGATATTGTGACCTACCATTAACGCATAACTGTTTAAGTTTGATAAATGCAGCCTGGATTTCCTGGATATTAGGCAGACACTTGTCCAAATCTGATTTATGAACGTCACTTCTCTGTGGATGACTTCGAGTTATTGCATTACAAATCCTAACAAAAAAACCCCAAAACTGTATTATTGGACATGGAGGAAAGCTTTTCAAATTAAGTTCTTTAGAATACAGGGAAGTGCAAGCAACTGAAAGCACTTAAAAATAGGTGTCCAGTTTCCTCTTTTTTTTTTTTTTTTTTTTTTTAAAAAGGTTTTCCTTGTAGTTACAAAGGCAGCTATCTTACATAGCAAAGCTATTTGCTCAAACAGCAAAATGGAAGAGTACAAGCATCTGATTAGCATTCAGCTATAATACACGTCATGCATTTTTGGTCATATGGAATGCTATGTGGAGGCAGAATTGTTAACACACATTTCAGAAACATTCAGTTCCCATTATTGTTGAGACATGAGCTAAATTAATTTGAAAATTTGAAAACAGTACATTGTTAAAGATCTATAAGAAACAGCTATCATAGACAGCAGTACAGAAGTGGTAAGCAACAAAGCCTTTAGGTGGTATTCAACTAGGTGGTATTTCTTGTAATATATTCCAGTGTATATAAGGCGAGACCTGGCCTAGTGATCTGTGAGCAGGACTGGAAGCCTAAACTCCTCAGTTTAATCCTGGTTCTGGCACCAGCTTTCTCTATAGCCTTGAGAAAGTTACATAACCTATAACCCTAATTTTACAGTCAGGGAAACTGAAGCAAATAACATAAGCATTAGGTAATGTTGAAGATGAAAAGCTATGATTCAAGTACTATGTCTATCACTAGACCACCAAAACCCCAACAGGTGAAGTAAAGTTTGAGGGACATTGTATCTCAATTATGAAAGCTAAATAACTGATGATCTATAGTCAATTTTCAGGGTTCAATAGCTCTGAAAATAGCTATGATACAAAAGCAGCATATAAAAGTGTATGCCAATAGAGACGCTGACTAGAGGCCCAACTCTGCTTTTTATTTAAATGTCTGGTTTTGTTTTTCCATGTATATTGAGACCAATTTTATAATCAAGGTTAATAAAAATACACTAACAGTTGCAACAGAAGGTCTACAAAGTCTTCCAACAAATTAAAACACAGACCAAAAAAAAATACCCAAACAAATACCCAACCCACATCTTGCAAGCCGGTGTGAATTTCTGCAAGGTATTAAGGGCTAGATTCACAGAAATACTTTAGGTGCCTAACTGTCACTTTAGGCACCTAAATCCCAGAATCAGGTCCCACTAGGATTCAAAAAACCCTGCTCGGCTGACTACACTCGCTCGGCCACTAAATTTTTGCAGTCAAAGTTATCTTAGCACTTATGTTTCTGCTTCTGAGTGTGGCACTGTAGCCACATGCCTGGTATCTGGACATGTAAGGCCTAGAACGATGCAAAAACTAGGGAAATACAGGCGTTCCTCCACCTACCCACTCTGTGTGGCCTGATCTGGCAAGGGTGCTCACAGCTCACCTACCACACTGGGTGCCTATCGATGAGCTTACTCAAAATGGTGGGGGGGTGGGGGGAGGGAGAAGAGGAGGAGGAGCTCCCTCAACTTTTAGCTCAATGGTTGGGGTACACACGTGGGATGTGGGAGACCTTCAGTTCAAGTGCCTCCTCCACCTGAGAGGGAGAAGGGATTTGAACTGGAATCTGCAACTCTTATGTGAGTGGGCTATAGGATATTCTGATCTGGGGCTCCCTCATTGCAAGTATGAAGTATAGCTAAGTATCCCATACAGGCACTATTTGCCTCATATTATATATGTCTGGTTAAGAAATTATTCGAGGTTATTGTTTACCTTTGATCTATTTTTCTTTGTTGCAATACATCTTTAATGTTGGCCATTCTCACAAGAGCACTCCCATTAGAGTGATTCCAGCACCAAAGCTAACAGAAAAAGATAATTTGTTAGTATTGCCCGACAGCATGAGTATCTACATACAATACACAAAACATGTTCACTCATACACATCACTGTCATGAACATTAACAGTGATCAGCAACAGAATAAAGTTCACACTTACGGGCATTCGTCTTCCAATAAAAGAGTAAGAATAGAGCTTTAGATCTTGATCTGCTAAGGAAGATGGGACTACAAAATATTCCGGAAGGCTTGGGGGGAAAAATACAACACAGATAAGTCATTTTTCTTTCACGTGTTTTATCTATTTTTCTGGAAATAAAAAGGATACAATCTAGAAGACACAACAAGGAGTGTTAGTGCATAATAACCCGTGCCACAGAACGACAATCCAAGTTATACGGGCTATATTTTATCACAGTATAGCGATAGCAGTGCTGACTACATGTGCTTAGTGAGTCACTCATGATACTAGCACTTCTGGTATTATTGTGGATGGGCCACTCACTCTTAGGTCCCACCACTGCAACTGCTTGGATACTAGGAGGAAAAATAAAACATACAACCTTTGCACTCCATCCTTAGCTGCAGCAGTGTATGTGTTGGGGAAAAGGGCAAAGAGGGACATACTTCTCCCCACTTCCAACCAAAACATCTAAAAGCATGCCAAAAAAAAATCTGGCCCGAACAGGAAGTCAAATCCACAGTACCACTTGCTGCATTGGTAGTTTACCAGTCTTAGTGCTGTAGTGCACCAGCCCCGGATGGAGACCAAAAACGAGCCACTGAGATAAATGAGTGTGTACAGAAGCACTTTAGCAGCAACAGTCAGTGCTGGTCAAACTGATCTCATTATTTTACTCATTTCCTGTTATAAAACTTCAAATCTTGCTAATATTTCTTTTACAGGCATGCACATTTGTGTTAATTTAACCAATAATAATCGTTTGTACCAGAAGGATAAAAACTATGAAGAATACAGTAAAAACAAACCTTGATATTTTTTTTCTGTCACTTAATTTGATACGAATATAATAGTTAGCTATGGGATCCACAAGATAGTAAAGTTGCTTTAACTCTGGTGGCATATCTTCAAGGAGACTGCCTTAGATACCTTTATAGGAAATTCTGAACCTTTACAAACACGCATCTCTCATCAGAATACAGCTGTTTTTTTTCTAAAAGTATCTGATCTCTCCCACAGCTACTAGAGCACCAGAGCGATGCCAGAGTCAAATTAGCTTGTTTTTTTCATTTTTTCTTTAAACTTACCAAGTAGATATCATGTAACCTTCATTGACTGAACAAACTCTCCATCCTGATGCGCATGTTCTTTTGATTTCTCTATCCCAATCAGAGTAAGTTTCAAATAAAGGAGTCTGTTGACCGCTGCCGCTGCCCCCGCCTCCTGGGTCTATTCCATTTACTGTTGCTAGGAAAGGGAAAATAATCAATGCAAGATTTTTAAAATCATCCCTTTCAGCTCTTTGTCATGCAAATAGCTATAGTGCTATCTCTTCCCACACAAAGGTAGGTGAGTCTCTCTATTAAAAGGGATGTTGCCACTTGCAAGATTAACAAGTAGTGGTGCTGTTTGGCAATATGCAAGAGTGACAAGTGTATCTTTCCTTCTGTTTCAACAGACCAAGCAGTGAAAAACTGTGCTGTGTCAGTTTCTGCAAAACAGAGATTAAGGAATAATGGAAATTGGAAACAAAAGTGTCACATTAACTCATGGGGTCTCCCTCTAAAACAAGTCAAAACCACACCCATACTACAATATTTAACAGCTATAATACGTTACTCTTTTTTTAAAAGGGGGAATTCTATGTTAAAAGTTAGAAGTTAGTTATTCTTGTAGCTCAGTTACCATCCGCCACTAAAAGTAAAGATTCTGAGCACAGATTAGCTATTATTGAGTCCTAACCCTTCCAAGTCAGGGTGGCCTTGTCTTCCTTTCCACTGTTTCAACAGTTTTTCTTCAGGGGTTGCTTTCTAGGCAAGCTATTACTTTCAGACAGGAAAGATGTGGAAGAGGCTGTTGATTATTTTTTGGTGTTAACACAAAGACTAGGGTAAACATTGTTTAAGTCTTATCTTACCTATCACAATAAATTACTCATCCTGATGGGTATTATGTAGAACAGCCTTGGTTCTACAGGCTAGAATGTTATAGCATGATACTCAGTTAAACTCAGCTGCTCTCTCCTAATATGACAAGAAGGTGGTCAACCATGCTCAGTGGAATTACATTTTGTTTCTTGAAACTTTGAGTTAATTTGATTTTAGTTGTAAACGAATGACACAAATTTAGCCCCCGTTTTATAATCTAATCCATATGTGCAGCCTCTTTTGCCTATAATGGGAGTCTGCAAGGGCATAAGGATCTGTCCAAGCAGATCAGACTGCAGGATTATGGCTATATCATTGCCCCCTAAGTCTTTGCCTGCTGTTTATACACCAACAATTTAATCTTTTCAGTGGTACTGAAGCACTCTCTCTTTTTATGCTTTCCAAAAGAAGCCTATGCCAAAATCAAGATAGAAGTAGTAGTAATGCTCCTAAAGGCTATTCAATTAACACCCAGATACAGTTATTTAAATAGGCCAAAGCTTTAATCCACTACCAATTCTCTGATTATCTACGTATACACAAATTTCTAGTATGGCAATCACCATGGTATCTTTTATGTAAAATAAATAGGTTGGGGGAGGGGGAATTGAGATTACACCCCTGAACAAATGGTACCTCAAAAGCTAATTTGATGGTTTCTTTTTTGTTGGTTTCCAGATGGCTTAAAGAAATTTAAATTAGAATTTAACATGAAAAAAGTTATGTTCAAGAATTCATACTAAAGCAGTCCTTTTAAATTTCTCACTGCCATAAAAATAATGCTGATGCCCAGATCATTTGTTTATGCTTCTTCTTTTTATTTCCTAAATGTTTTATAAAATAAATAGGACATGGACAAGTTCCTGCAGATCTGGTCAAAGTTTGAGACTAGGTCATAAATTAAAAATAATTTGATAACCTCGTCCTATCATCATCTGTGCGTATCACAAAAATCATCACATAGCTTGGTACCAGTAGTGATAGTCTCTGTCCAGTAGGCCCAGAAGTGGAACAGCAGGAGATGCTGCAGGCTGGGCACTGATGCACACTGACAAAACCCTGCAAGGAAGCTTACCAAAATGTCACGCCAGTTCTATTAGTCCCATATTTAAAAAGCTCTAGATTCACCCACACATTAAAGACAAAACATAAAACATTAAGAATCCTGCAAAAGATTTGGAATCAGATTTCAAAGGAAATTAGGTGCCTAGAGATGCAGATAGGCAGTTAGTGGGATTTTCAAAAGTGCCTGAGCAGGTTAGGTGCCCAACTCCCAATACATTTAAGAATCTGTCCCTTTGCTCACAATATTATTTTTTTTGGGGGGGGGGGGGGGAGTAAAGGGATCAGGAGGGGATTGGGAGAACTTCAACTTTTACTTGAAATCAGAACAGTGAAATATATATGCATGCAATAATTCTCCCCTCCCCACTTCATGATTAAAACTCCAGTAGTTTCAGGGCAGGTGAGAAAAAAAGCTCAACTGTGTGATTTGTGTGTTATCTTTTCACAGTGGGAAATACTAATATTATTAATCCATGTGGTAAAAATGCACTGAGAAGAAAACACAATGCAATATGACCCATATGTTCTTCTTCCGTGCAACAGCACAGAGAAGGGGAAGAAATAATGGACAAACACTGCAGCTTCCATTTTCTATGGGACAGGCAGGGGTGCAGAGTGGGTAGAATGCAGTACTGGAAAAGTGACCAGAGGACTAGGGAATCCCAGCCATGATCACCACAGAACATGCCTCACTGTACAGTGGGACTTCCCCCTCTGAAATGCTCTTCAGCCCCCCTACTCCAAGCCACTGCCATGCAGCAAGACCACTAGCTTCACTGTCACTGGTTCACTGTAACTCTACAGGGGCAACATTAGCACACTGCTTATTTTACCCACTTTGTGCAGCTCGGCCACTGGCCCTTTTCCTTTCCCACGTGGCATATGGATATTTCCTGGAGGGGGTAAAGGTGGCTCTAAGGAGGTTGTGGTGGACCCAGCATTTTGTTTATCTGCTTCCCCCTCTCCAGTTCCCAGCTGGGATTTTCTCTGCAAGTTTGCTAACTACGGCACTATGCAGCTGGAGGAAGGATGTGGACCTTAATTAAGCCCCTTTTTATATAACTGCCCATTTTCAAGTTTCTGCAACTTGCACCTGTAATGTATGAAACTCTCCTTGTGCACGCACACGGGGCTTATGCAGCATATACAGAAATGAGCAAACACTTCTTTTAGGCATGTTTGAAAATTTGGATCCGTAATTTCATGACATCCATTCAGTTTCTGTAGTAGGTAGATCATTTGTTTCTAATGCAAATGGCAGAGTAAATAAAATTGTCAATGCTACTGAATCACATCTACAGCACTTTCCATATTTGCAGGCTTACTGTGATGGAATTTGTAGATTTTAGCTGCGTATTGGCTGGGGAGCACTAGTGGTGACCTTGCAGTGTTACACTAGAAATCAAGTTCCAAAGGCATCTTTTCCAAGCTTACCTAACTGATAAGGTTCAGTTGGAGACTGGCCTTGAGCAGAGAGGGTGTGCTCCAACTCAGCAGGGGTGATGGAAGATTTGAGTGGGAGGTTATACCTAGTAAGCCTCTAGGAAAGGAGGTATGGAGTCCCAAGTTGCAAAAATCCTCCTGCAATACCACCAGAAGAGACACTTATTCCCAAGAGAAGGGCAGGTAAACAAACCTGCCTGAACGGGCATTATCTAGGTGTCCAGGGTATCAATATAGACACACCAGAAGGATTTAAGGATGGAATGAGAGATAATGGTACTCATGCTGGTATGGATAATTTTGTTTTGGATAAAGATAAGATTGTTTTGTTTTTGATAATGAATTACCATCACACTGATTAATTTTGACACAGAAATTAGGGGGCTCAGGTGCAGCGTAAACCAATTTAAGTGACCTTCCAGAGCAAACTTCAAAACACTCTTGCCATTGCTTTTGGCTAAAAATAGCCGCCCTTACTATAACACATGCACATATTACAGAATAGAAAAAAACATTTACATGGTTACCTGGATTATGATATTTTTTCCCAACATATTCAAATGCAAAGAGGAGCTGGAGATCTGTTGGCTGGGAATAATGTGCTACTGCAAGGCACACCTAGGAAAAAATAATTTTATTATTGCTGTTCAGCATTATTGAATATAAAAATACTTTAGTGTAAGAATCAAAACTGTATATAAAAAAAGGAGTGATTACCAGGAATTATGGCACTGTAAGAATATAACAAAAGACTGAAATTAAAAAATGGTCTGATGTAATATTGCCAGATTTGACTAGAGAGAAGGACTTATGATATATTTTGATATTTGGTTAAATTGGCTAATATTTGCTGGAAAAGTGTCAAAGCAGTCAAGATAGGTGAATTTTTGACCTTACATAAAGAGTGACTCGCAGTTATTATTGATAGACTAATTTAACTAATATAATTTATAATATAGACAGCAACATACAGGCAGGGGATGTGACCTACTAAGCTGGTGTGTAGGTGTCTATGTACAAACAGGAGGGGAATAGATAGAGAAAAGAGCAAAATGGGGCTCCATTCTCGGTTGGTCCTTAGGCACTACCATAACAATCACAAATAAAAAAAAAATAAAGTCTTGCATTTTAGAGCCCAACCCTCACATTATTTCTTGAAACAGCAGCCTCCCATTTTTACCTCCAAGGCTTGCAGGAGTTACGTCAATCCTGCAGCAAAATAAATCCCATTTACTGATGCACGGGACAGATGGCTCCAAGACTTTTGGAGTCGAAGTAAAGGGATTATTTAGGAATAAGGAATGGCCAAATCTCCATTATGATATGGGTGCTCTTCTCCCTTATTATATTATTATTATAATATGGAGATACACCTCTACCCCGATATAACGCAACCCGATAGAACATGAATTCGGATATAACGCGGTAAAGCAGCACTCCGGGGGGGGGGGGGGGGGCTGCGTGCTCTGGCGGATCAAAGCAAGTTCAATATAACGCGGTTTCACCTATAACGCGGTAAGATTTTTTGGCTCCCAAGGACAGCGTTATATCGGGGTAGAGATGTATACCTATCTCATAGAACTGGAAGGGACCTTGAAAAGTCATTGAGTCCAGTCCCCTGCCTTCACAGCAGGACCAAGTACCATCCTAGACAGATTTTTGCCCCAGATCCCTAAATGGCCCCCTCAAGGATTGAACTCACAACCCTGGGTTTAGCAGGCCAATGCTCAAACAACTGAGCTATCCCTCCCCCTCAATCGATAGTCACTTCTGCCTTGTTTTTCAAAGGGACTTAGTACCTCTAGCTTCCCATCAACTTACAATTTCAACCCCTCTGAAAAAATCAAGATATTACGTTGTTTTGACCAGGCATGACGATTTACAATTAGTTAGATATATCAGTAAGTTGTGTCTTCTCCATTCCCTGAATAGTCTTGAAAATGCAATGTGAGCCAGATATCAGCCTGATGATAACTTTGTGTCTTGCCCTTAGAAATTCCGCCTCTAGCTGACTGGTATTTAGTCAGACAAGGAAACATCTGCTTACCATATAAGAATGCCTGTGAACTCAGCAAGTCCCAACAGCTCTTCTAAGAATGATACAGTGATCAGAGTATACCACGCTGAATCACTTGCCCTACCCTAAGACGGGCACTGCTGCAGAGCACCAAAACCATAGAACAATTATGTCCTCATCACCGCAGCATAAAAAGTTATTTCTACAGCATCAGAAATTAATGTGACAGAAGACAGAGGCTCACTCAGTAAGGCTACACACTATGCAAAACACAGGGTCAGAGTTAGGGCTGATCCTGCAAACACAAGTATTTGTGTTTGCACTTGAATAGCGCCAATGAACCCAAGAGGAATTCTCACATGAGTAAAGTTAACAGTGTCCTAAGTATTCCAGGAGCAGGCCCTAAATTTCAATTATAATTTAGCTCCGTCATTCTTTATCTGCAAAACTGGGTAATCATCATAGAAAAACAAATTGTTTTCCTTCTGACCAGAATGGACAGAAGGAAACAGTAAGGGCCAAATCTCAGGAATGGATTAATGGGGTTAATGGCCCCGATAGAAAAAAGGTTCCCCCATCCCTGATCTAAACATTAAGATAGGGAGCTAGATTTTGAGAGGCAAAAGTACTTTTTATAAAAAGATACACTTTTAATTATTTGTATATTCAAAGTTGTATCAAATTACATATGAAAAGTGATACAGTGGGCCAGATTTTCACAGGTACCGAGTGCACGAATATTACTGAATATTGTACTGATATTACTACACTGAAGTTGTAGGTGCTCACCATTTCAGGTTTTCAGCCTCATGTATGAGGAAATGGAACCTAGCCATATATGGTGTGCCTCTTCACATCCCAAACATACCATAAAATACAGTATCACCACTTGGACTTGTCAAAAGTTATTTTGTTAAAGGTTTTATGAGTAAAGTCTTAAACCTATATTAAGACTTATACTAAGCAGTCCTATTCATTAGCAAAGAGACATCAACAAGTTAATGTAATTTTAAGGGTGAAGATCATAAGTATGACTATTAGTTCATGTTGCTCAGTTTGGGTTACATTACAGGATGGTGACCCAAATAGATAGAATTACAACTGCAGGCATCACCACTAGAAAAATCACACCCTACTCTATTAGGTACTCTTTTGTACTTCATTAAATTTTGCCTACTACCTCTTTATTTTGCTACATTTTAACCCCTGTACAGCAGAGATAGATACATTTAGGGCACTATTTAAAAACAAACAAACATTCTTTGCTTCCAAGAGGTTGAGAAAGTTCTCTTGTGTTTTGTTTCACTTGTTATGGAGAAAATTTTCTTATAGTCATACACATGAAAACAAGATGGCTGGAACAGGCCATTATGTGATTAATACAACTGATGGCACGATGCCTCAGAAAAGTCAGCGAGCACATTCAGGCTTAACTCTGTGTGGGGATTACTACAGTATTTCTAGCCCTTATGCATTCTATGCATAAAAGGAACTTAAGAGTGGCTATATTTTCATTTTGATTTGACTTTTGATGAGAACATTCACTATTTGTAGAACCAACTTTTAACGGCTGCAGACTGACTAATTGCAAACTACTTTTTGCACACTATAAATGTCATTAAAATCCTTTTAAAGGAACAGTTCCCTATACCTCTTCTCCTATATTACTGTTTTCAGTTCAACAATGAAACTACAGCACAAAACAGGTTCGGTCTGAGGTCACTCCAGTCTAAGTAGTCACTGGAAAATTACTTAGCATGGGGCTTTGAAACTGTTTACTTAATTAAGCAGATTCTTGTTTGGGTTTTTTGTTTTTTTTACAGGTGGAGGAGGAGGGTTGGTCCATTTCTTTAAAAGTGCTTAAACTCAAGGTGAAACACGGGGCTCATTACAATACTGATTAGTATACTCCATTTAGAAAACTATTTCAGCTATTTCACAGAGTTCCAAGAGTAGGAAAGGCCATTAGCTATCACAAAAAAAACAGATACCTCCATTTGAATTGCAAGAAGTCATGCATGTGAAATTTTGATATACTTTATGTTTTACCATACAAATCTTAGCTGAAAATCAACATGACTGGCAAGGTAAGTATTCGTTTTAATATCAGGCTTCTATACTTCAGAAAGAGCTTCTTATACTGTTGCTATTTCCAGCTACCTAATTTCTGTAACATAATGAGTACCTTCTTATCCTATTAAAAGGACCACTTTAATCAATCTATTGCACTAAAACAAGAACAGAGGTTTGCAAATGTACAGATGCTGGGCTTAATTCTCTAATTTATTAATCAGTTTTACACCAGTGTAACTCCACTGAGCTCAGTGGAGTTACTCCTAATACACACTTCTGCGAGAAGAGTCAAAGCCTCCTAGGTGTTGTAGTCTGATCAAGATTCGAGAGTTGAACAGCAAGCAAAGAAAAGGATATAGTTTCAAATCACAAAATTGAAAACAGCTAACTTTAAAATCAAGTATTTGAAACCTGGCTCCTTCTCCATTTGCCTGCCAAGTCTTGAGTTCAGGATTTTGTGATATCACCACAACTACTGTACCTGAAACAGCGTCTTCCGGCATTATTTTAGGTGGCAGTGACCTTCACTGCGAAAGGGAAATACTAGACTTTGAACTTGAGAAATAAGTGGAGGAGGGGCACGCTTTTCAAAATCTTCATTTTAACGCAGAATCACAGAAAGAGTGGAAAATGATTTAGGTCACATAATGGTCCAGCTCTCTGTAAGGCTGTTATGTATGCATTTTTTCTAGTGCTTTGTCTAATTCTGTTTTAACACGTAAACAAATGTTCTTGTAATTTTTGAGTTGAAAACAAAAGCAATTATTTAAGATCCCAAATCACTATGAATACATATATAAACAATCTTTAAAAATCACCTTTAATTTCCCTCTGGAACACATGCAAAACCTAAAAGCTGAAATTTTTATTAAAATTAGATAAGATTTAATTCAGTTTTCATATACCGTGAAGCAACAACTGTAACACATAAAACAGCAACTGCCAATTCAGGCCCAGATTCTGCATTGTGGATCTGAACAGGGGAACTGTTGCATCAATAGAGATCCCCAATGAAGCAAATAAAGTGTCTCCCAGGTGCAGTAGTCCACCTGTGCTGATCATAGTGTAGAGTCATGGCCTTTCTTTCTTCAATATAAATACTGACATTTTGTTCTGCTACAATCTTCAATTGGAATTTTAGACCAGTGAAATTAACGCAGCCTGTCAAACAACAATTTATTTGCTAACAAGCACTAAAGCCGTATTTGTGTTCTATTTATTCCTGACTTTGCAACTCCATACAGTAGCTCTACTGTCTGGGACTTTAAAGACAAGCAAATTCCATAGACCTCAGCAGAATGCAGCCAGAAGCTGAAAGCTCAAACTGGAAGACAAACATGTTTTACAGGAAATGTTCTTGTATCAAACTGATAAACGTTCAGTATTTTTGCCAATTGCAATTGTGCAAAACCAAAGATATTCAGAAACATCATTTAAAAAACAGGAGAACAGTTTTCACTTACAGGAAAGATTGTTAAATACAAAATAAAAACAGTGGGACTTAATTACCCCATCAATGCTCACTGTG